ATCATGTGCGTGGCGTGCGTGCACCCCTGAGCGTGCGTGCGTGCGCGCTTGTGTATATAGTGCGCCGCGCGCTGTGTATGGTGCGCGATGTGTATGTGGTGTATGCATGCTGCGTGCGTTCGCTTGTGTGCGCGTGTGTGTGCATGCGCGCATTACATGTGTTATACGTGCGTGCGCGCATGCATGTTGTATGGTGTGTTTGCGCGCGTGCGTGTATGTATGCCATCGTGCGTGGTGTGCCGCTTTACGTATATGTATGTGGGCTAGTGTGCGCGCCGGGAGGATATGATGGTGTGTGTTATGGTGTATGCGTGGCACGCGTACGTGCTGTTCCACAGATGCTATGGATTCTTGGTTTCAACTTTTCAAATATATCGTAACGACAGAGTGGCACCTGCGAGACTAAGGGATGCAAGGGCGACCCACGGGCCCTCCTGGCCCCGAAAGCGGCACCGCCTCCTGGCCCGAAAGGCGCGCCACGCGCCCTCCTGGCGCCCGAAGCGGCACCGGGCGCCTGCTGGCCGAAGGCTGACCCCGGCCTCCTGCAACCTAACTTACAGAAAGTTCGGGAAAGTTTTTGGTAGATAATTGGGGATTTTGGCTACAAGTCATGGAGGCTGACATCTTGCCAAATTTCAGCCAATCAGAAGGCGCCTAAATCCTTCCTATGTTATACCGTTTGGGAAAAAAAATTTCGCCGGCCCGGATTTAGGACTGGTCAAGCTCGGCAGTTGCCCAGGGGCCTCCACAACCAGGGGCCTCCACATATTTCACGAACAAACAAATTTGTAAGGAAAAATATAGGCTGACCTGAACGACACGCACGTATCAATCAAAAGCATATTGCGCGCGTTTTACGTCATACATACGCAAGCCATATTGTATTTGTTTTTTTGTTTTCCTGTCATTGCTCAGCACACGTCGGCAGACAAACATCTAAAATCTAACGTCATCCATCTCATCGTCGATTTTATTGCTTGCTTATTCAGATTCTTTCTACTTGAACAATATTACTTTATGGATGACTGTAACTATATGTCTTGTCACCTTTTAGATTTTAGTATTCTAAGGTAGGGGGGCATCTACTACTGAAGGCTGCCCAGGGCGCCTCCACATGTCTAAATCCGGCCCTGTCTAAATCCGGTCTAAGTTTCAGCATAAAGCGGCAAGTTTCACACTGGCGATTTTTTGTCTTTGAAAATTTTTGAAGTAAAACCTTTCAACATCTTCTGTAAAGATTTTTCAATATCATATCAAGAAATCTTTCAGTAACATCTGTTCACACTATAGACTTTTGTCTTTGAAAGTTGATGAAAGTTGGTGATAAACCAGACTATTAATAATTTAGAGGTCAATTATGAGGTCATAATGGCCATCTGATATGCTGTAGACAAACTGTGGACAAACCAGTAACAGTTCTAAAACAGTAGATCTCAGGGGAGAGATAGTGATCCGCTAGATGTTTATAAAAGTATCTGCTAAGCCAGAGCCTTGAGCCAGAGCACGTATATCATATACACATAAGCGCATTGGTCAGCAAAACGATAAATACAGTGACCACCGACTGATTACAAAGGACTTAGCCTGCTATAGACTGAAAGTATACTTCTATGCGTAGTCTACCGTCTAGTCTATAAAAAAAAGTTCTAAGCAGTATGGATGAAGAAGAGGCATTATCCCTGATAATTATAGCCTGTATTATTAAAAAGAAAAAGAGGGAAAGAAGGAAAAAGAGGACAGTTTGGACAAGGCCGTGGATAGCCAGGCGTGATGAATTCGGGGCATTCAGTCATGTACACGCCACAAACAATCCTTCTTCTCGAACAACTCAATCAGTTCTTCCACCTTATCGGCGGGCGCCATTTTCTGTATCGTGTGCTGCCGCGACAGAGATGACGTGAAACTGTTTTTACACGTAGGAATTAACTGGCCAATCAGCGCGCAGCGCTTCTACAAAATCGATTTTCTACTTCTCAACATCAACTTTTCTGTTCACACTAGCGATTTTGAGTTGGGAAATTGAAAAATCGCTGAAAATCGCGTCAATTTCTCGATTTTACGGCAAAAGTTCCTGCCTTTTGATTTGGCGCACGGATCAAAAGCTGCCAGCGCGTGATACTTTCGTAGGACGTTCCCGCGGTCGCGTGCGCCTTGCCGCGGAACTGCGCGCAAGATTCGCGCTTAGCGGGCAGGATCAACACCTCTCAGGCGACGCTTCTCTGGTATCCGGTCTCTTCTCTGGGTCCTGGTGGTGGGGTGTGTGTGTGTGTGTGTGTCCCCCCCCCCGTCAACGTTAATAGCTGTGACCAGTGCAGTGTCTAGATTGTCGAAACATCTGCGCAGCAACACTTCGCGCGCAGACCTTTATGCGCAAATGTTAAATATTCTGGTTAGCAACGACGGGAGCGAGCCCATCCAAACTAAGTTCGACGTGCGACCATGTTTATCGTAGTAGTTCTCTTAGCATGGATTGATCGCTTCCCCATGTGATTGAGAAATGTCATTTATGGTTGGCGCTAAAGATGCTGACTGACTCAAGCAGAGCAAAGTTGTGCATGTAAGTTCGAGTAAACTTACTAAAATGTGAGTTTTTTTGCAGTTTGTGGTGTCTTTCTGTACTACGTCCATTTTCACGTTTTTTACAAAGGGTGCAAAAAACACTTCAATGCGTGGAGTAGTACGGTCTCCAAAAATTTGCCTATCACGTGGCAACATGCATTGTTGTCCACCGCTGATGTGTATATAATAATACACATGACAAGTTATGTTACGTTATGTACACGTGTAATGTAAACCTATGTAAATGGTAATATATACAGCGCAGTGTTATCTACATAGAAAATATAGATACACCTAGTATATTATTTCTCTTGTTATCTACCACGATTGCTACGAAAGATTGGCACATTTATCTCCCGAACGATGGCGCCACCATGTGTACACCGCACTTGGGGGTTCCGGATGCGGTCTATGTAGTGTAAGCAGCAGTGTCAGAGCGCTTCTCTACTCCCTGTGTAGCAAGGCCTCTCTAGTGATCAGGCATGCAAGGCTAGCCGAGAGATTATCCGTAGTTGACCAATAGATCAGGCATTTCAATTTGTAGTCTAGTTTTATCGCAATATTTTAAAGGGGTGTCGTGGTTGTTAGAAACATTTTAGTCGTAATTTGCTACTTTTTAATAATAATTATATAATAATATATTTACTGTAATAATCGTTATTGTGCAGCTGCGATGCTACTGATCAACGACCTAGGTTCTCTCTATGTGCCAGTACTGTGTAAGTAATCAGATACCATTTACACAGAAATCGATTCACGTGATCGAGTGAATTCCATTTACAATGTAGAGCGCATGCATAGGAATGTGAATATGCTTTATTAGAGAGGGGGCTCGCCAGTAAGAGTCTGACTGCATAGATATATTTTTGTGATCGACTAGTGCTTATCTAGTCGGAGGTTTCTTCTAGGACCCTCACCCGGCGATACTTTCATACAAAAACCGCTTATAATATTAGTAAATAAGTGTGATTTTACGAGAAGAAACATAAATCGATAGCCGCAATCGCACGGTTAATTTAAGCAGCATTTTTATTTAGAAATATGCGTAAATTGTGTCCATCGTTGGCCCTATACATGTTATTATTAATCATTGGCCATTTATCGTCAACGTATTATTATCGCTTTGACTCGATATATATATTGATTTCATATCCGATGATATAATAAACTAATATAAAGCATTCTTATTGTATGGAGATATACGTAAATTTTGTCTCTTGTTAGCCTTATGTGTATTTTTTTTATTAATTATTGAGCAATCAGTGTCAACTTATCATTATCCGTTTGTCTCTATAAATGGAGTTCATTTGCCGTTTACATTCAAAGTAAACTATCCGAATAACATGGCTGACAACATTCCACAATACTATTGCAAGTAAATCATCATCATCTCAAGTCTTATGTAATAATATGATAAGCAACTGGGAGCTAGCTTGGTAAGAAGAAAGATAATATAATATAACATGTAACCTTCAACCGGTTATACACTACATCGACGCGTAAACGAAGTGACGTCATCATGCTACGTTCCCTCGGCACATTTTCATCTGACTATATATTCAATCATCGGTGATTAAAATCCGTCAACAACGTGCCATCGTAAGCTTACACCAGGCGCTTGGTTACAGTCTATCTCTCTGCTAGATGGGAACGCACGTGCGTAACAGGACACTGTATGCAAATCCGTTGCCGCACCCTAGCCTGCAGAACTTTATTCTCCTAGAAAAGAAATCACAGAATGAGATGCTAATTACACTGTGAACCCATTAGCAGACAGCCATGTATATAGCGGTAAATTGTAAGTCAAAGACACCCTAGAGAGACAGTCATTCCGTTAAACAACATCTATATAACAGATATCTGTCTATAACGAACTCTTTTGGATTATAAATATCTCGAGATGACGACTGCTTACTACTGCTCAATAAATGTCTGATGGCGACATAATGCGGTTTGAAACGCAATTGGGAATATTAAGATAAATGTATAAAACTATCTACAGAAGTAATTATTTCGTTTTAGTTATTACACGCCGGTCATGCGAAAACACATTGCAAACCTTTTATTTATTTTCGTAGCGAGTGATTTATTTATTTATTTATTGATTCATCATTGGGCGCATAGATGGATGGATGTATTGATGGATGAATGGATGGATGGATGGATGGATGGATGGATGGATGGATGGATGGATGGATGGATGGATGGATGGATGGATGGATGGATGGATGGATGGATGGTGGATGGAATGGATTGGGATGGATGATGATGGATGGATGGATGGATGGATGATGAGTTGATGGATATGGATGGATGGATGGATGGATGGATGGATGGATGGATGATGGAGATGGATGGAGTGTGGATGGATGGATGGATGGATGGATGGATGGATGGATGGATGGATGGATGGATGGCTGATGGATGGATGATGGATGGATGGATGAGGATGAGATGGATGGATGGATGGATGATGATGGATGAGGATGGAGGATGAGATGGATGGATGGATGGATGGATGGATGGTGGATGGATGGATGGATGGATGGATGGAATGGATGGATGGATGATGGATGGATGGTGATGGATGGATGATGGATGGATGGATGATGCATGGATGGATGGATGGATGGAGGATGGATGGATGGATGGATGGATGGATGGATGGATGGATGGATGGATGGAGGATGGTGATGGATGGGATGGATGGATGGATGGATGGATGGATGGATGGATGGATGGATGGGATGATGGATGGATGGATGGATGGATGGATGGATGGAGATGGATGGATGGATGGATGGGATGGATGGATGGATGGATGGATGGATGGATGGATGATGGATGGTGATGTGATGGATGGATGGATGGATGGATTGGATGGATGGATGGATGGATGGATGATTGGATGGATGGATGTGATGGATGGATGATGGAGTGGATGGATGGAATGGATGATGGATGGATGGATGGATGGATGGCATGATGGATGTGGATGGATGTGATGGATGGATAGGATGTGATGATGGATGGTGATGGATGGATGGATGCGATGGAATGGATGATGGATGGATGGATGGACGATGGATGGACAGGTGGGCGGATGGACGGATGGACAGATGGATGGATGGACGGATGGACGGATAGACGGATAGGTGGATAGATAGATGAATGGATGCATGGATGGATAGATAAATGTATGGATAGATGGATAGATGGATGGATGGATGGATGGATGGATGGATAGATGGATGGGTGGATAGATGGATGGAGGTATAGATGGATGGAGGTATAGACGGACGTTCGGTAGGACGGACGGTCGGACGGATAAATGAACGAATGGGCGGACGGACAGACGAATGAATATGCGGATGGACGGACGGATGAATGAACGAATGGGCGGACGGACAGACGAATGAATATGCGGATGGACGGATGGACGGACGGATGAATGAACGGATGGACGGACGGACAGACGGTTGAATGAACCATGGACGGACGGGCGGACGGATGGATGGCGAGAAACATTAAAATAGCTTTGCATACTTTATTCTTCCATTCGGCAGTAGGATCAGCAACTTCTGTATTTGGTCTGCCGGTCCGCCCCCACACGGCAGGTTGCAGTCGATAGTGATCGTACTGTCACCTCTATTACATACACCATAAAATACATCAGCAAAACTCAAATTACAAATACTTTAAAGTATATATATCATATGATTACATGTAAAACCCCGCGTGATAAGAACATAGATTTTAAGAACAATGTTAGGCTAAAATTTCCCATTAGAACGCCTTAATAAGAACCTTTTTAGGCTAAGATTTTAAAGTAGAGTTCTTAATTTTCCATGCAGATGAAGACTTAAAAAGCAAACACACTAGGTAAAACTAACAAAAGACGAGCTCCAACAACTAATCGATGCAATAACAATACTCAATGCCAATGCCATTGCCAATTGCTCAACAATAACCAATCATATCTATTAATAATAATAATATTATATAATATTATAATTATATATATCATATAATCATTATCTCAACCATAAAAAAACAAACATGTGCAACAACTAAACTCTTCATATAACACCATTACACATAAACTACTGTACTGGTAACAAATGCATCACAGTACAGTAAGCCCAGCGTAGCGTGGGTTTCAGCTAGTACATATTAAAAGTAGAACAATTAAAGAATCTATTTACGAACCTTTGAGGCCTAATTTTCAGTAAAGGCACCATTTATATAAGAACATGTTGAGAGGCTCAACTTGGACAAATCTAATGTTCTTATACCGCGGTTTTTTACTGTAGTTCAATTAATTATATAGGTATGAAAATAAGTAATTGGGTATTTGTTATTACTAGTAGTATAAGTATATAATCTATCAATATGTGTGTGCGCCGGCCGTGCGAGCGTCGCGTGCTGCGTGCGTGCGTGCGTACGTGGCGTACGTGCTGGCGTGTATACCGTACGTGCACGTAGCGCCCTGCAGGCAGGCAAAGTGGGCGGGTTACCCGTCGATGTACCGCCGCCGCCACACTGCGAACACTTGCTGTAAGTGTACCGCGTCCACTCTCCTTCGACTTGACCTGCGTGTGAGTAAGTGAGAGTGTGAGCGAGAGAGAGTAGAGGGAGAGGGCAAGGGAGAGCGAAGGGGGGAGAATTTTTGCACGATACTTCGTCTGCAAAGGTTATAACATCCTAGACCTATGATGCCGTGACTACTTCTGACGTAGCTGATAACGGGATTCCCAGAATGACATACAGCCGCGCAGAGGGTGAGAGAGAGACAGCGAGAGGGAGAAAGAGACAGAGAGAGGGAATCGAGAGAGATAGAGAGAGCGAGAGAAGAGGAGAGCGCGCGCGAACGAGAGATGAGAGAAAGTAGAGAGAGAGAGAGAAGAGAGAGAGAGAGAGAGAGATAGAGTGTGTGTGTGTGTGTATGTGTGTGTGTGTGTGTGTGTGCGTGTGTGTGTGCGTGTGTATGTGTGTGTGTGTGTCGTGTTGGTGTGTGTGGTGTGTGTGTGTGTGTGTGTGGTGTGTGTCGTGTGTGTGTGTGTGTGTGAACGAACTCGAGAGTACGCCGTATTTATATAGCCTAGTATATATAGTATATGATTATTCTCACATAGCTTGTACAGATATTGACCTATAGATTCCACGCTCCCCACGAACCTGTATTCAGAACCTGTTGCTCGTTTCATTAAACATCTGTAAATGGCAAAGCGTTTGTAATTTTTCCTGTCACAAATGGTGAAGACGGCGAAAGCAAGCATCGCGTTTAGTTAATAACGTTTAGTGATTGTCCGACGTACACACGGAATCGTTTAATGTAGCGCGCATTCACAATTGCACGAGTAATATGGTTAAAACTTATTTGTAAGTTCCTTAAAGTGTTCTTGCGAACTTAATTGCGAAACTTGCGTCTAACGAAGTCATTTATAATATATTTATGAATATAATATATTGGTTAATGGTATCATGGTTATGGTTTAGGGTTACGTGCTAGCGTTAGGGGTAAGTGGGAAGAGTTTGGAGTTGCCTTATGTATAGTTAAGAGCTAGGAGAGAGCGGGGATCATTTGGGTCGGCGGTTTGGCTACAACGCTATGGATAGGGCTTATGTGTTTAGTGCCGAGTTGCGGTATGTTGTAGGTATAGTATGGGAGGGTTAGGGTAGTGGTGGGATGATGTTATGGTGAGCGTTATGGGTATTGGTTGGGTTAGGGTTAGGAGTGAGGTTGGGTTGGGGTTAACATGAATAAGATATCTTACGACGGTTGTCGGCAGTATGCGTGGGTCGCCTCCTCTTGTCCTGCGGTCACATCTGTCGGCGTGTCCTGTGACACCTGTCGTCGCGTCTGCTCGCAGCTGTTCGCCGTAAATCTGCCCAGTTGTCGCCGGTGTCGTCAACAACTGTCGCGGTATCTGTCCAGTTGTCGCGCGTGTCCGTCACAAAACTGTTGCCGGTATCTCCCAGTTGTCGCGTGTCCGTCAAACTGCCTCGGGCCGTATCTGTCCCAGTTGTCAGCGTGTCCGTCACACACTGTTTCGTGATCTGTCGCAGTTGGTCACGCCGTGCGTCACAACTGTCGCCGTATCTGTCGTCATGTCCGTCGACATGGCGGCGAGATGTTGAAGCTCACACCTTATATAGAACAGATAACGACACACGATGAACAGCTGACTACGTGCTCACAACCAATCATATCAGGATCAATATTGATAACTCCTGATCAATATATATATATATATATATATATTATATATAATGTATAGTGTAATATTAACATACCTAATGCTTCATAGAGCCAGAGATTTGACTCAATTACAATCTAGTTTAAAAAGAGAGCGAGTTATAACGATTATTCTAGGATTATTCAAGATGAGTATAAGGAAAAAGAAGAATGCAGCCAAATTTATTCACTTCGTCTACAAGCGAGTACGTGCAACATACACTATTCACACATACGATATTTTATTCGAACAATGCGACATGTAGTACAAAAATCGTAATATATATATTATAATATATATATATATATATATATTTGTGAAGCAATACAGATTCATACAGATCATATACGGTATATATTATATATAATATATAATAATAGTATATATATATATTATATAATAGAGAGAGAGAGAGAGAGAGATAGATAGATATGATAGATAGATAGATAGATAGATAGATAGATAGATAGATAGATAGATAGATAGATAGATAGATAGATAGATAGATAGATAGATAGTATCAGGAGTAGATGATAGGGATAGAGTAGTCCCCTATTATCTACTCCTGATAGTATCATGGTCATATCATCAAAATAGTATCAAAGAGTATATATCGACGATGTCTTATCCACAAATTTTAACAATAATTGCGATTCTTCATTTCAATCGAAATATTCGTCCTAGGATTATTAAGAGTAAACTATCCAGATATACAGCAGTAGGGATTTGTAATTGCAATTGTATGAAATATACAATTGTAATTTTTTTACATACAATAAGAATTTGTTTGTACAATGGACATACAATGAGAATTCGTTCGTACAACAGTATTCACAATAATAATTGTGAATACAATAGCCATACAATAAGTATTTGTTCGTAAAATAGACATACAATAACAAATTGTGAATACAATAGCCAAACAATAAGAATTTGTTCACACAATGAACGCATGAGCAGTAAGAATTCGCTATAATACAGTCGACGTACATTAGGAATTTGTGTAATCCAGTAATGTTCTCACAGGACTAATTATAATCGTTCAACGTTCCCCACAACTGCGCGCCCCATCCACTCGTCACAATCAGTCGCCTATCATCTTACCTGCGATCAACAAAAGTCCAGCGATGAGAGACGTTAGTATGGATGCCATTGTCGTTGGTAGACGGTTGGCAGAGAACTAGAGATGGGAAAACGGGCGAATCTGCTTTTATTCCATCTCGCTTCTCGTCAAGGATGTCCTGGGTACACACGTAACGCAACGGCCGCCCCCGAAACCCCGGCCATAAAAAACGTTCATGACGTACAAGCACGTTAAATATTTACTCATATTAAAATTTAGAAGCGATTGGAAGTGACAGAGAACGAGAGCGAGAGCGGGAGAGAGCGAGAGAGCGCGGGCGCGCGAGAGAAAGCGAGATAGCGAGAGAGGGAGAGACGAGAGAGCGAGAGAGCGCGCGCGAGAGGAAGAGAGAGGAAGAATGAGAGAGAAGGGAACAAAGAGCATGGGATAGAGAAACAGAAACAGAGAGTGCGACGTCTATGTAATGGACATGAGAGAGGATGTTGCGATAATGCGTTTAAAGACGAAAGGATTTACTATTATTCACGGCGCGTGAAATCAGAAAGCATTATCTGCTCTGTAACCATATCCCACCCAGCGGTGATTCACGCGCCTAACGCTATTAGCGCATTATAATATACTAGGTAAAGGTGTGGATCGTTTAGTATCTACTGCTCTAGCCTCGTGGGAATTCAGGTCGGGTTCAATACAGGATACGGCATTCCCTGCAAACACACACACGTGTGCAGCGAAATCGCCGTTGCACGCACGGCGTGCAAACACAACACGCGCATAAATAACACCCAGCATGTTTCCGATGCCACGCGGCACTCACCGATTACACACTAGATCAGTGTAAGCGGGGCAGACAAATATGTTTTCTTCCGGAAATATCGGCGGCATGGAGGTGTTTATGATGGCGGCGCCAGAGGTCGCGCGCATCGCAGGTGCGCAGGTCCGTTAGCTGCCCTTCCAGCACACGTGATGGCGGGGTTTCCGACATCTCAAAGCCTAGCGAGTCGGCACAGAGAATGAGGACAGACACGCGCGTATTTTATGTGTGGAAATGTACACGCCTCTAAACAAAGCGCGCGAATAGTTTTTTTCCGGTTTCGGTGTTGATTTTAGATGCGATGAAGGTTTTATGGTGTTATCGCCCGCGTCCGGGTTTGATGCCCATTTAAACTAACATTGACACGCGTCACTGAATCACACCCACGAGAGAGAGATTGAGAGACAGGGAGAGAGAGGGAGGGAAAGAGAGGGAGAGAGAGAGAGAGAGAGAGAGAGAGAGAGAGAGAGAGAGAGAGAGAGAGAGGAGAGAGAGAAGATATAAAGGGAGAGGGTGGGAAGATCAAAGAACACCGCTGCATATTGTAATCTGTCGTAACCGGATATGTATCACGTGGTTAAACAACGGTGGGGCGGGAAGAGGGCTCGGAGGAACGAGTTCTTTCGGAGTCCTTCGCCTGTCCGTCTTCCGCAGGGGCGGCGCCACAGGGGGGGCAGGGGGGCGGTCGCCCCCCTATCATTTGCAAGAAAAGAAAAGAAGAAGAAGAAAAAGAAAAAGAAACATCTTGCAAATGTCTTGCAAATGATGGGTGGGGTGGGGGTCACCCCCCCATCATTTGCAAGAAAAGGTAAAGAAGAGAAGATTCTTGCAAATAATAGGGGATCGCTCAAAATGAGTGATGTAGCCTACAAGCTGGACCACTTTCATCGAAAAATCGAAAAATTAAGTGTCGAAATTCAATCCATATAAAACCTGTGCTTAATTTGATAATCGATGTCAAGGTGTTATTTCCTGGGAGTCCCAAGTTGGGACCATCATTTGTCGAATCATTTCATCAAATTAAGAAAAAAATTGAATGTTGAGTTTTTGTTGTTCCTCAGATAGGATGCCAATACTTCTAAACTACAGCTACTATCCCAGGTCCAGGTAGCAGGGGCGTGTACAGGTTTTGTACCAAGGGGGGGGGTCTTAACCGTAACCCAACTTGCGAGCACGCGAAGGGGGGGGGTCTGGGGGGCCCTCCCCCACACATTTTTTGAAATTAGACCCCCTTAGATGCGTTTTCGGGGGTGCGCGAGGGAAGGGGGGTCCGGTAATCAACTTGTCAAATAAAGGATTGAATTATTTCAAGATATCATTTAGTTGGCAGATTGTTTTTTTTCCTTTGCCTTTTTGCGTTTTTTTACCTTTGCCTTTTTTGCGCCCCCCTGAACATGGCGCCCGGGGCACGTGCCCCCCTTGCCCCTCCCCCTAGATACGCCACTGCCTCTAA